GTACTTGGGTATTTAGCAGCTCCTAAATACCTAAGTAAATAGTACTTGGGTATTTAGTCATCTCAAAATACTAAGTATTTGTGTATTTAGTACCCAAAGTGGTACTTTAAGTACAAAAGTATTTAGGTATGCCCATCACTGGTTGATGAGATGTATTTTGATAAGGCAATAATAAACATTAAGCAAGCAAAAGAAAAATACCGGTCAAAATGTCGTGTCCCTATTAGAGCCATCGTCGTCCTATCAGCCCATCCCGAAATTCGATTTTTAAGTCCCGAACCCGCCCATCCCGACGTTTTTCAGAATTGTATCGTGGGTCCCGTGAGTCCCGAAACAAATTGAAACGGTTAAGATTTCAAAGTGTGTGGCATGGTTTGCAAACCGATCGAAGGTTGACAAAATTGTTCATGTCTTTCAAATTAATTTTAAATATTAAAAATGATAATGAAAGATGTGGTATCTTCCGATTATTTTGTTTTGCTTAAAAAAGTGCGTATTTCAAACATCGTTTTTAAGGAAGATTTTGTGAATTTGCGGGGGTTGCGGTTTTATCGGGAGTGCCGGAAAAGGATTTTGGTCCCGTCCCGCCCATCCCGGCCAATTTTAAATCAGTACCGTGGGTCCCGCGGGTACCGATATCCCGTGGCGATCTCTAGTCCCTATTACTTTTCACATGACTATACTTGGTTTTACATGAATGAAATGAAAATGTATGAAAACTAAACTGAATTAAAAATAACACGCATAAATTAGTGTAACATACTTCACTTAAATTTTTGTTTTAAGTTGTTAATTAAATTTAGAACGCAGACATATTTTTTTAAAGGGGATGCGAATAAATGAAGTCCTTGAGAGTATCTCTTAAGGTGAAGGCACTCCTTGGTGCGTTGTTTGCCATCATTCGGCCATGTCTTCGCAGCGGTGTTACAACTACTGGTCGTCATAGACCGTTAATTACTGCATCGCCCTGATATTGGTCAACATATTCCGGCGGACAGTACTGCCATCGTGCAATTTAACGAAGTTGTTTAGCAAAACTGCGAGTTTGACGATATTTTCTGCTGATGTGGGATTCATATGCAGTGGGGAAAGCAAAATTCTCCAACGCGCTGTCAAGACCCCGAAGGCATTTTCTATTACGCGCCGAGCTGGTTATAAGCGCTTGTTAAACATTTCGCGATCTGGTGGTAGAAGGGTACCTGAATTAAAAAAAGTTTATTTATAACACAGATTTACAGAAAAAAATGTCCGACCTGCGGCATCTTTATATGAAATCGAAGGTAAAACTTTCCACTGAATGCGGATATGAGGTCAAAATATAAGAAATAACAGTTTTCGAGATAAAACCAGATCTGTTTTTTTTTTTAGATCTGAAAAAGTACACTCACTTAATTGCATTTTCTTTGGATACAGTTGGCCTTTCTTAAATTTCATTCTACATTTGATTCGATTTTGTATAATCCATGTCCAAAACATTTTCCAACTGGCTTAGTATTTTAAGAGATATATATTGATTTATCGACAAGTTTGTATGATCCAGTTGACATAGATGATACAAAATCTATTGGGATTTCCTAATGTAGAATTTAGATCTGGTTTTATCTCGAAAACTGTTCTACTTTCTTGTATTTAGACATCATATCTGGGTTCAGCGGAAACTTTTACATGAGGAATGATGGTAAAGTGCAACTGATCGGATTCCCACGTAGCATTCCCCCGACAGCCGGTTCTAGGTACCGGAATGACCCGTTTTTACCCGACCAAGGGCTGTTGTGTCGGCGATCTAACCCCGGTTAGGTCGGCGAAATCCCTCAAAAGTTGTACGTCAATAGGGCTACATCTTCTTCGCATACTTCTGCTCAGGGCTGGTATTGAGTCAAACCCTGGACCAGAAACATATACCTGCTGCGTGTGCCAGAGACGATTACACCACAATTCCACCTACGTCAGATGCAACACATGCAATGGGTGGAGCTATCTCCGAGTTTTCTCAGGCCTTACGACTCATAGGCAGTGGACCATCGCGTACGTGGCCCCTTGCTGCGCAAATCGATCTGCCTCAACGGCATAACAGGGTCCGCCTGAGCAACTCAACACAAACACAACCGCACCACAACACAATACAATAGACAACACCACTGACACAACAGACGACACCACCGATACAACTGCACCACCACCCACACGCCACCGCTAACAACTCCTAGTTCCTCCGACAATCTGCACAGTGTGTCAGTCCAGGATATTCCGTAATGTGACATCAGTCAAGTGCAACACTTGCATTGGCTGGTGTCACTTTCGGGCATGCTCAAGACCGCGCACCACGCGAGATTGGACGAGGGACTATGAGGGCTCACGCTGTGCTGCTCGGTCGCAATCTCCAACTGCGATACCACCCACTATTACCATAGGGCAACAGCCTCAGCAGCAGCAAGCACAACATGTGGCGGCTCGGAAACACACGTCACTAATACCCTACATCACAATAAGTCTCCCTAGGCACATGAGCAGTTTACAATTTAATTGTAACGGACTTCAGAGCAAGATCGAGGAGGTGACAGTCTTTATGGGTCGGCACGGAATATTAATAGCTGCGGTCCAAGAGACGAAACTGCACGGATACCGGATACAACGTGCACCGTCGAAATCGCCAGCGAGATAATGGTGGTGGCCTAGCGTTCATCACGCACCACACCGTGCAGTATCGTCTTATCGAAGCAGACATCGACCGCAGGGATACCATCCTAGAATGAGAGGGTATTGTATGCTGTCAGGCGACGTCGAGCTCGAAATATTAAACGTATATATACCCTCCCCCCCCCTGTNCCGGCAGGTTATCATCCTGAAATAGGTGCGCTCCTCAGAGGTGAAAACCGTATGGTAGGCGACACAAAAGTCCAAGTCGGGGTCCGCTGCAGACGAAAAAACAGAGTGGTGCTACCTCCTAGAGTCCATGCAGTTTCTAATAAAACACGTTGCCACTAGGAGGTAAGCTACACATGTACATACTTAGTAGTGGAATTCAGTTGGTCATACATATGTATGTATATGGGTATTCATGGAAAGGCGTAAATGTCTGGTATAGTTGTAATAAATTTTAAAATAATTAAAATTGAGCTCTGTATATTTTTATGTAAGTTCTTTTAGAAAGCTTTTTGAATAATGAAAATTTTTGAAAAACATAATTTCCATTTCAAATTATTATCAATAAAATAAAATAAATTTAAAATTAAAGTTATTCACAAAACAAGTAAATTTAATAAGCATATGTATATATAACATATTTTAATCCTACATTACTCCCCTACAAGAGTTTTTATGAGGAATAAAGTAAATGTAACTTTCTTTTTTAATTTTGCATCATTAATACGATTGTTCGTGTTAGTTTTCTGTGTTGTTTAATTATAGCTGGTTTTAATCTATTAATTGGAATTGTTTTAACTTCACCATTAATTTCTACACCCAGAAAAACGGTTTATTTATAATAACCAAGATTTGGTTATAGTGATCAAGTGGCATAGTTGGATATGGCGAAATAAATATATTGTTCACGAAAGTCTGCAGTCTTACTTAAGACTTCTAGTTGGGACAAATGTATATTTGTTAATAATTACAAAACGACTACCTTGATTGGACAATATTGTTAGTTGAATAAAATCATTGTTGAGCAAATATAAACAATGCTTTGGTTGATACAAGTTTTCAATTAATTTTGTGAAGTTGCTGTAGACTTGAATCAGCTAACCGTTTGTTATTGGGAAAAAATTTCAGTTTGGCACAAATAAAAATTTACTCGATGTTTGTTGTGTTTACTTTCTTTTATTTGCATATATTAAGCTAAAAAAATACGTACATATTTACATAAGTTAGTTACTAAAGTAAATAATACATATGTATATGGTGGTAAGAATTTCCTAAAAAACAACGATGAAACAGGAACAGTCGCGCGAAAACCCAGGTCAATATCTGCTGGAAGTATACTGCTTTGCTTTTTCCTTGGCTAAATAAACACTTTCAAATTATAATTCACATGAATTATATATCCACTGAAAAACTCCGGTTGACATCAAACTCTTGGTATGTGAAACACACATTTGCTCAGAGAGCGCTCAGCATTCTTTAGGGGTGGCTCACAAGCAGGGATGCCGTTTGGATCTAAAGAGATCCAATTGGATACATTTTTAGACGAACTTTTGCGGGATACTTATTTTTTCCGGTCAGTATAAATGTGGATACTTTTTTAAATAGGCCAAAATTTTATATTTCCTATAAAGTTTTTTTCGTTCAAAAATTGATTTTCTTTAAAGATGGTAGAAAGCATCACGTTTTCTAAACGTACAAAGAATCGCTACTTAAGCGTGAAATTAAAGTATTTTATTTTTTGTGAACGAAGCAATGAACATATGAAGAGATCTCACCAAAATAGGTATAAGCACAATTGCTTTAATTAGCTTAGGGCCGTTTCTAATGTAAGCAATAAAGTTGCCTTTACTAACTGGGCGGATAAATTGCTCCTCACTTTAAAGCACGTTTTAGGTATTTTCGTTTTCTCATCTCACCTGTAAAGATAAATTGGTTATTCTGAAATTATGGCAAGGCCAAAGTAAAAATCTACTACATTGGCTATATGATTTTAGTGTTGGCAATGCCGTACAAGTAAGAAGTAAACAAAATCAGCTGTTAATTGAAATTAATTTGCAATGGAAAACTCACAATTAAAAAGAAAACGAGGTAAAAATTTTACTTCTCAGGAGGAAGTTGTGTTAGTGGAGTTGGTCCCTGACCAAAGAGATGTAATTGAAAGCAAAAAATCAGATGCGGTAACTTGGAAACAAAAGGAGGAGGCCTGGAAAAAGTTGGCGGAGCGCTTTACTGCAAGGATTGGTGTCCAACGAGAGTGGAAGACTCTAAGGTACAAGTTCGAGAGCTTAAAACAGAAAATCCAAAGCCGAAATGGCCTCAGAAAAATGCGAGCTATATCGCACAGGTGGTAGTTCGGCGGCTGTAAGGAGCAACAGCGTAATAACGAAAAAAGTTGCTACCATTTTGGGGGAGTCAGCCACTGGAATGGAAAATGCATTTGATGGTGATGAAAGTTAGTACTTTTATTGTTTCATATACTCTTAAATGTGTTTTAAAAATAAATGCCTTTAACTTTAGTTGATATTAGTACTCCGGAAAAATCCAAAGTGCACCATGAAGAACCAAATAATTCCGACGATCTAAACCAGGCAAGTATATACATATATATCGTCGTTTAAAGTAAAACCCCGCTATCATGGTTCTGCAAAATAGCGTAACTGATATTTGGGGTAAGGTTTAGTTACAACGAATTTGGGTTGCTGTGCCTAAACGCGTGACCCGAGTCAAACAAAAATAGACACGCAGTTGTAGAAAAGAGTCTACGCTTTAAAAAAAAAAAGATAATAATATACATGTGCACTAATTTATTAATAATTTCGGTTTGAAATATGTTTTTTTTTTGCAAATTTTCGAGGTTAGCTGCCAAACACAAAACATATCAACGAAATATTTCCGCAAAAGGTGTTCAGCCCCTCTTCTTCGGCAACACAGAAAGGAGAATTCTACATAGTGAGGGTTATAGTCCCTAAGCGCGGCTGAGCCCGCCTACGCAGAAAGGCGTTCTCTGCAACAGGTGTTCAGCCCCTCTTCTTCGGTAACACAAAAAAAGAATTCTTCTTAGTGAGGGTTATAATCTTTTTGCAAAAAAAAAAACGAAAGTTCCCCTATTTTCAAAAAGCTCCCAAGGTACTTTCCTTAAAGCATAAAACTAGACTGAAATAGTTTTTTTTATAAAAGAGTGAACTGTTTCGAAATAATACAGATTTTTACTCTCTCCTGCAAAATTTGGGCAACCTCATATACGTGGTTTTGCTTTATCTTAATACGCGGTTTTGTACTTTAAACGACGATACGTATTCTTATGGCCGAAATGATAGAAATGCGACATTTTGACAGTTTTGCATATTTTCATTCCTTTGTTTAATGCCATTAATTTTTTATAAAACTATTGCTCATTATCGAACAAAACCCATATAAATTCATTTCAAAATTTGTGCAAAAATTAGAAAGTTTTGCAAGTTTCTTTTAAATTGCAAACTTTTTATTTTGAATTGATTTAAATTTTAGTAAAATAAAGTGCGAGTGTAAAGTTGCTGAAAAGTCCCGCTGATTTTTGATATTTTTTTTTTTGCTGACGTTGTTACACATTTTCTTCCTTACAAAGTGTGTTCAAAACTTATTGTTATATTAAACAAAACGTTGCAAATTTTTCTTACTTTTTCATATTTTTTTGGGTTTTGTTAGATAATGAGCTATACTTTTATAAAAAATTAATGGCATTAAACAAAGGAAAGAAAAATATGGAAAACTTGTCAAAATGTTGCGTTTCTATTATTTTGTCCGCAGGTATAAATAGATTAATGTATTGACATAAATCCACGTATATAATAATTGTTTTTTTTTTTTTTTTAATTTCATAGGAGAATCTGGAAATCATTGATGTTGAAGGAGAAGAATGGTCTTCTTGGACACCCAACTCTTTGCGAACCAGAAAATCTTCCAAACTTTTGGTCGACCGTCCTGTCACCCGCAAGCGTACTTTGGAAGAAGAGAAGACTAAATTGGCAGTTTTTCAACAAAAATTTTATGAAGAAGAAAATGTCCGGGCACAGGAAAAACATGAGCAAGAGTTAATAGCATTACAATTGAAAAATGAGCTTCTTCAGTTAGAAATTATAGAAAAAAAAGCGAAATTAGATTCAAACAATAATGTGACTTAGATATGGATGTACATATATATGTATAAACATCGTTATTAACATACATATACGCCTACATATATGTATATGGATCTATATAATACGTATACGCTTGTGTGTATGAAAAAGTATAAGTTGACAGTAAAATATATATGAATATATATTCTATATATTTATATAATGTGTATTACAATTGTACGCCACCCACATATTGACAAATTCTGACTACTCGTTTTTTAACTACTTAGTTTTTATTATTTTTATATAGGAATATAGTTAATTTTTAACAAAAACCGTAAAAATCCAAGTTTTAAACATTGTGCAATACTTAAAAAAAAAATTCAACAAACTTTGGTAATAAAATTTTTTTAATTCGATTTTTCAGAAAGATTTTGGGTATGCAGTTTTGTAGGCCATTTAAGTTTAGTGCAAAGAAGTGAACGTTTGAAGTAGCTAGGACTTACCGTTGATTGTTGCAATTTTTTTTTGTTGAAGGTGTTGCTCATTTTCCTCCATATAAAAAAATCTTCCAAAATACTTCATATGAAAAAAATTTGCAAAAACAACGGTAAGTCCTAGATACCTCAAGCGTGCGATGAAATTGAATAGCCTACAAAGCTGCACACCCAAAATCTTTCTGAAAAATCTAATTATAAAAATTTTATTACCAAAGTTTTTTGCATTTTTTTAAGTATTGCACAATGTTTAAAACTTGGATTTTTACGGTTTTTGTTAAAAATTAACTATATTCCTATATAAAAATAATAAAAACTAAGTAGTTAAAAAACGAGTAGTCAGAATTTGTCAATATGTGGGTGGCGTACAATTGTAATGCAAATAACAAGTTAAACATATACATAAGTGTATATATGTACATACCGTCATGTCAAAAAAATAGGGACACGAAATTTTGACCAGTTGTGGCTATTTTTCTTTTGTTTGCTTAATGTTTATTGTTTTTTACAAAAATACTGCTCATTATCTAACAAAAAGCATATAAGTCCAAAATTCAAACTTTGTAGAAAAATTAGAAAAAGTCAAAAAGAATTTACAACAAAATTTTTATTAAGAATTTCAGGAAAAATTCTAAGTACCCAGTCTCATAGCTCATTAAATTCTAGCTTAATACAGTGCAAGTTTCAAGTGGGTAAAAATTCGCGTTGATTTTTAATAATTTATTTTGCGAATGCTGTTATTATTTTCTTCTTTGTATGGATAAACTGCCTGACACCGCCAGCAAAAAAAATTATCAAAATTCAACGCGAATTCTTACCCACCTGAAACTTGCACTGTATTAAGCTAGAATTTAATGAGCTATGAGACTGGGTACTTAGAATTTTTCTTGAAATTCTTAATAAAATGTTTGTTGTTGTAAATTCTTTTTGACTTTTTCAAATTTTTCTACAAAGTTTGAAATTTTGACTTATATGCTTTTTATTAGATAATGAGCAGTATTTTTATAAAAAACAATAAACATTATACAAACAAAAGAAAAATAGCCACAACTGGTCAAAATGTCGTGTCCCGATGCTTTCCTCATTACTATAAGTATATACACACATTGTATAATAGTCATGTTGCAGTACTTTATACACACATACACACATTGATAAACTCGTCTGTTGTCTGCTTATGTACTGATTACATATATATAAATATATATATACATATATAAAAAATAACATATTTAACTGCAAATGTGGATTATACGTACATATCGACGGCTGGGTGGAAGATCGTCTTATATCGGCAGCCGATTCGAAAACGCCTTATCTCAGAAAATTACTCGCGAACGCCTTACTTCAGAAATTGGTTGAAGAAGGCCCTATCTCAGAATTTGCCGATATATTGAATTCACATGGAGATAGGGCATTCCTCAACCAAATTCTGGGATAGGGCGTTTTTCAATCAAATTCTAAAATAGGGCATTCTTGAAAAATTTGCTGAAGTAGGACGGTTTTGAACCGGCTGCCGAGATCGTTCGATCTTCCACTCAACCGTAGATATGTATTTACATAAGTATAGTATGTAAACTTGATCGTCATATTACATAAGCTTTTATAAGATTATTATTATTCACAAAGATTTGTTTAAGAAATGAAATTTTTATGTTGAAATTTTGGCTTTACTTTTTTAAGTTTGTAGTTAAATGTTTTTGTTCATTTTATTAAATGTTGACTTATGTAAATTTAACATAAATGTAAACTGATAGACCTTTTATTTGAAAAATTACATTGGAAAGGGTTGGTATCTTTTTAATGTGCATATGCTCATAGAACTCCATTTAGCTATTTTTTCTTTTGGTTGATGGTTTTATAATCTGAAAAGCGTAAGTATTACGTATATCATAGGAATGTGTAAGTATTTCATAACCAGTCAATCACCTAGCAAAATAGTTTTGTATTAGTCGGTTTCTTGCAACAGAGTTAGAATTTATCTCCACTGAATTATTTTCTGCGGCATCTTCTGGAATCTCCAGCAGACTCAGTTCATCCATAGGAGGAAGTGGGTCTTTTGAAAGTACTGCAATGTTATGCAGAACACCACATGCGACTATAACAGCCATTGTGGAGTTTATTGATATTCGCAGTCCTATCGACAATACTGGAAAACGTCTTTTCCATACGCCAAAGCATCTCTCAATTGAAATCCGCGTGCGGATTTGTGACTCATTGTAAAGTCTTTCCGGTGCATTTGATGGGTTCACTAATGGAGTCATCAGGTAATGAGTTTGCTTGTAGCCACTATCGCCAAGGATAAAATAATTACTAAAATGTCCTTCTTCCATACAAAACTTAAGACGGCTATTGCGGAAAATGTTGTAATCGTGTGCGGAACCAGGCCACCTTACCACCAAATCTAGGAACATCAAATTTGCATTGCACATTGCCTGGACATTGATCGAAAAGTATCCTTTTCTATTTCGAAAAATTTCTGCATTGCCACCACCGGGTGATTGTACTCGAACATGTGTGCAATCAATAACTCCGATGACTTTGGGGAATTTAGCTATTTGGAAAAATTCTGCCACCGTCTGAGTAGGATCGCTTGGAAGTTGAATGAAATCCTTGTATAAAGCAGCCAGAGCAAACGACACTTCTTTAACTGCTCGGCTTGCTGTAGATACGCTTACCCCACAAAAATCTCCAACGGTTATTAGGAAACTTCCGCTGGCATAGAATCTGAGCGCTAGCATTAGTTTTGTGCGTGGTGATATAGAACAGTACCTTGAAAAAGTAATTGCAATAGTTTAAGATAATTTTGTGCATTGGTATTGTGTGTTAACTAACTTTCCTTTACTGGGTTTTAAATTGTTAAAAATTTTATTCAAAACTAACCGAAAGGTAGGTTTTGATAATCGAAACCTCTTGATGAACTCATTGTCATCATACCTCTGTAAATAATCTGGCCGATATCGATACTGCCTATGAGATGCAGTTTTTGCTCGGAATCTTCAAAAATTTATTCTAATCGATTAATATATAAAACACGTTGTGTCGACATGGTAAATTTGATATTTCCATATTTCGTTTATACTGAAAATTTAATAACAGCTGTTCAACTTATGTAAACAAATCAAAAATTTTAGTTGGCAATGCTTAATTTAAGGCTGGGTACAAATTTTTAAAGGCTACGTCAAGTGAGCAAAAATTTATCGATCCGAGAAATTAATGCGCGGATGAGAAAACGAAAATGCGTTTATCGAGGCGATAAAGTGGCCATTAATCTAAAGGCTAGATTAGAAAACGGCCCTTAAAAGGATGCTTTAAGCAAGATCTTAATTTACATATCGTCGTTTAAAGTACAAAACCGCGAATCAACAAAATGCAAAACCGCGTATGTGACGTTGCATAAATTATTTTCTAGAGAGTAAAAACACTTATATTTCAAAATGGTTCTCTTTTTTATAAAGCAATCGCATTTCTGGCTAGTATATTTCAGGACGATCCAAATCCAATTTTTGGCAGCAAATGTCAGTTACGCGGTTTTGTACTTTAAACGACGATATATATAAAGTAAATTATACTCTTTCTGTAGTAATCTCTTTCATATCACATATTTTCATTTGTTAATTTAAAAAGAAAGAAGATTTCAATGTAGTTTAAAAAACTAAATTTGATTTATTTAAGGAAACTTTTATGAATTTTACTGAAAATACTTTAAATACACTCTAAAATTTTTTTGTTTATTTGCGCATATTGAGAGAGGTAACTAGTTTCCTCTTTTAATGTGTGCAAATTTGCACGCCGTGTAATAAAATTAATCATTGCCTGTTTACCTTTACATAACGAATTTGTCGCAAGAGCAAAATTACACATAAAATGTTTAAAATAAAGTAATGTTTATTATTAGTAGGAAATGTATTTGTAGTTTGAAAATTTTTGCAATTTTAAACATTCTATATATGTGTATTTATGTGTATATTTTAAAGATCTCAAGTTCAAAATCAAATACTGAACAGCCTATACGTATATTTATACAGATTCTTGTTGAAAAATAGATACTTTTCAGTAGTATCTTTATATGCTCCTTTTAGAGTGTACTTGCTATTTATTATATGAGTAGCAAAGTGCGCTATGTAAAATTTTTTCCATTTTTAGTTTTTGGAGGATTACGTACCAGTATTTATAGTAATTTCATGTCCACTAACAACACAGTGCAAAATCTTTTTATATTCTGAAAAAAATAGCATCAAATGTTAACTCTTCTTCCAAAAGTCGCTATCACACTTATTTATAAACTTTCAAAACTATACATCTTCTGATGAACTTAGAAAACTGCTTTAGGTCGTATATACTGTTAATGTTATCTGATGTCATGTTATGTTATGTTAACATTTTTGGATACATTTTTGGCTTGGTCAGGGATACATTTTCTTGAGACGGCGCGGCAACACTGCTCACAAGCACGAATATGTTCCACTCTCAAACCAAATCGTGGTTGCCTCAAGTAAGATTTGGTAACTATGACTAAACCATGTGTTGAAAGAAAGCTTATCTGCATTAGCAGAGCTTAATAACATCCTTTTGTGAACCATACGTTAAGTTGAATGGAATTTGTAGAAATATGCTTCAAAGAAATATTTATTAGTATTAACCAAACCCTTCAACTAAATTAACGATTTGTTACAACCTAGATGAATATTAGAAGCTTTAATATATTTAGTTATAATTACCAATCGATGGTAATAGTTCCCAATCCTTGGTAACAGTTCCCAAATATTGTCAAAATTCGGGAACTAAATATCTTTAGTTGTCGAAACTACTCCTTTTCCTCAGTGTACCCTAAAATATTTCTTATCTCTTTCAATAACTTTATAGGGTGTTTCGTACGGTTGTTGTAATGAACATTTATTTATAGAAAGAACGAAAACAAATTTGCAGGTTTGAAGATCCTTTGGAATATAAAAGCAAGTGCCAGAATTTCGATGATGATTTAAATTTGAATTAACATTTCGAAAATGTTCACTCAAACAATCTAAAATCTCAGTTGAAGAAAAATTCTCCGCTGATGGAACAACAAGTTCACCAGGCAAACGTAAATTTTGCCCGAAAACCACTTCAGCAGGTGTAGCTGAAATATTTTCTTTATAAACAGATCGTAATCACAAAAGTATTATCGGTAGTTCATCATACCACCCTCTAGCTCCATCTCTGGCCATAATAACAGCTTTTAATTGCCTATGAAATCTCTCAACCATACCATTACCTTGCGGATGGTATGCAGATGTTGTAATATAGTAATTTAATTAGCTCTGAAAATAATTTGGATGTAAATTGACTTCCTTGATCAGTCGTAATTTTTAATGGAACTCCAAATCGTGAATCATATCCAGTAAAAAATGTATTTGCAATCGTTGTAGCCGAAATATCTCTTAAGCGAGTAAGGCGAGTAAACCTATCAATTATTGTCAAAATATAACGATGATCATTTGAAACAGGCAATGGACCAACAATATATAATGAATGTTTTAATCTATTTTTAGGAATTGGAATTTTGCGAATAGGATAGATTTCGTGTTACGATGGACTTTCGATTTTTGGCAACTAACACACTCTTTTGACCATATATTGAATAAGTCGACGAGTAGCTTTTGTACCAGAATGTGAAATACCATGAAGCATATTAAAAACCTTCTTACGTAAATTAGTTGGTATACATATATGGCCTCGGATTTTCCCCTGTTATCTCACAACAAATATTGTAATTTAATAAAGGAATTTGAATTAACTTTAAATTTAAACATTTAGATCAAATTTTTAAATCATTAAGTTTATCATCTTTTTGCTGTTCATTTTGTAAAATCTTAAAATTTGGCTCCGTATTTCCAATTACATTAACTTCAAAAGCTCGAGATAGTGTATCAGCAATGATGTTTGACTCTCCTTTAATATATTGTATATCATTAGTGAACTGTGCGATGTATTCCAAATGTCTCGTTCGTCTTGGACTACGTTCTGTTTTTGAATTTAAAACATTGATTAAAGGTTTATGACCTGTGAAAACAGTAAATTGTCGTCCTTCCAAAAGGTAACGAAAATGTTTGACATTTAGATAAATCGCCAAAAGTTCTGGATCGAATGCACTGTACTTAGTCTCAGACCGAGAAAATTTTTTGGAGAAAAATGCAATTGTTTTAATGTTATTATTGAAATGTTGCTGAATGACACCTCCAATTGCCGCATTAGAAGCATCAACAGTTGAAGATAATTTAGCGCCTTTGTTTAAATGATTTAACAATATCTCAGCCACAAACCTATCCTTAATGCATTCAAAGGCTTGGATTGAATTATCATCCCAAATTAAAGATTTTTCTCGTCTCTTGTTTGTTCTATTAATTAAGTCATAAATTTTATTCGTGAACTCTACCAATTTCGGTATATACCTATGATAATAATTAACCATACCTATAAATTTCTGTGCTTGTTTAATAGAATTTGGACGCTGCTACTTTGTTGTCAGTAGGCCGAATCCCAGCTCCAGATATATTATGTCTTAAAAAATCAATATTTGAAGCACCAAAAGTACATTTGCTTGGTTCAATATTTAAGCTGTACTGCGTTAGGCGTTGAAAAAACACATGCAACTCTTTTAAATGTTGTTCTTCATCTTCACTTGCAATAAGTAAGTCGTCGATATAAGAAAAAAAAACCCAGTGCGCGTAGTCCCTACGCGCGGAAGTAGTGAAACTTAATAGAGGAATTTCAGAAAGAAAGAAATGTGTGATATATGTACATACACATGTACATATTTTCTAATACACTAAATACATATTTATTTTAATTTTTTTAACGAGCTTTAATTTTTTATTTTTTATAACCAATTGCTAAGTTTAATTATTATTTTTGGTTGAGAAAACATGCATATCTACAATATTAACTAGTAGATTGTGGTAACTAAAGTAAGATATAAAAAGTTTTATTTCAATATTATTAATATTTCTAGAAAAACTGCATCAATGGTAGTCGCTAATTTGGTTGTTGGAACATATCTACCAATAACCATTTCCAATGAAAATTTTTCTTTCACAAATTTTGTCAGTTCATCATACATGTATTCGGCCAGCGAAAAGTTTACGTTGAAATCTCCTGCGAGAATTACAGGTNGACTCATTTCAATTATTTGAGTTTAACTTTTTAAACAGGTGGTCACCGTCTTCAAGCACCTCAAAAATATTTTAATTGTGTTTCTTTAAGCCCTTTCATTTCACGCTTACTATATAGTATTTTATGCATAAGACTATTTTATAATTTAACTAAATTGGACTTTTGAAACAGGTGGCAACTCTCCTACATGTAGATAAAAAATACAGTTTATTCGAAACCATTTCTTTTGATACCCATATTGGGATAATTCATTTAACTTAATAAATAATTTGAATTTGGTTTTCGTATATATGGCAACCCTTTAAACACCTAAAACTATATTGCACATCTACAGATCAAGCTCTTTCATTTGACACCTCATTTTTGAAAATCGAACGAACGATACAGATTTTATGACTTGGAGTTAAATATTTAACGCAACCCTCTGTGGCAGAGAAATTTTGAATTCGTTTATCTAACATGTGGCAACTCCTTTCATGGAACTAAAGCTATATTGCACACCCGAAGGACAAGGCCTTTCATGTGACACCTCATTTTTAAAAATCGACCGAACGATACAGATTTTATGACTTGGTGTTAAATATTTAACGCAACCCTCTGCGGCAGAGAAATTTTGATTTCGTTTATCTAACATGTGGCGACTCCTTTCATGGAACTAAAGCTATGTTGCACACCCGAAGGACAAGGCCTTTCATGTGACACCTCGTTTTTACAAATCGAACGAACGATACAGATTTTATGGCTTGGTGTTAAATGTTTAACGCAACCCTCTGCGGCAGAGAAAATTTGAAATCGATTTTCTAACATGTGGCAACTCCTTTCATGGAACTAAAGATA